TTGGGCGATCGACAATTCGCCAATTATGGTCCGTGATGTTCACAGAGTCCAAGTCATCTTTAGGTCTTCTTTCCATCAGCGACGCCCATGATGTAACCTGCTTGCCCTGATATGGTGTCACAGGGGCTTAAATTAGAATACCACCTCGTGCCGGGATTATCACAAAGTTGAGCGAATGTGCCACGGCGATGCTGTAGACGTCATTCCTAGCGGTTGAGTTACTGAATGGCATGATATCCCTCGAAAGCAGGCGTTCAACGGATGGCATTGATGTCGAATAATCGGCGATGGCCGGAATTGATTCTAGAATAGGGAAGTCTGTACTAACGCATGCTGCCAACTCCAGCCGTGAAGCTGAGGCCGCCCCTGACGGTCAAGGCCTCGGTCTCCGTCAATGCAAGAAATGACATCAGGGTTCGCGCAGACGCATTGTTCGTAGCGTTTTGCAGTTTTGGGCGAAGGGTTATTTGATAAGTCTGTACTGATTGGGGAAAGGCCAGCCCCATTGCCGTGCGACTATCAAACAGAACTCTGAGCGATCTATGGAGAGTAGCAGACCAGGCACTCCTCAAAGCAAGAGACGCAGACGCTCGAAATGAAATCGGCCCAGGACAGAGGGGGTCTGATCGAGGTTGCTGGTACATGCGGTCGTTTGTCGGACAAACCCTGATCTGGACGGGGTGGCAACATCAAACAGGCCATCACGAGGTATCAAGGAGACATGGTTCTGATGCGAAGATGGTTCGGTCATAAAAGGACTATCAGTCAAACCATAAACGACGACTTGTCCAGACAAACGCAAGGTCTCAAGATCTGCAACGATATAGGCGTCTAAGATGCTGTCATACTTGACCTCGAGTACAGAGCCCGGAGAGTCGGAACAACATCACGAGCTTTGGGGTCAACGGCACTTTAAGCCAATTGATGATTAAAGAGTCAGTGGTGTATGTTCATTCTCAAAGATTTCGGTCAACCTTGGCGCTCAAGGACGTTATTCGGAGTACAGCAGGGTTCAAGTCTTCAACAACGTTTTGACCCAGTTCGGCCTGCAGTCCGCCATATACGGAAGACGGCAGGCCGAACTGGGTCAAAACGACAGCAGGGGCTCGATGATGCAGACCTACACTGACGCCGCCGTCGATGCTTGAAAGCCAACAAACTTATGCTGCTTGGCAGTGTTTATGGGCGGTGGCCTCCTGAGATATCGATAAGGTGAAATCACATCACGTATAACTCGACATTGTGAGATCGATGGCGTGAACAGACGGTCGTCTGTACTATCAACAAGTCTTTACAAGCGCTGAGCCCTCCCTCTCTTAGGATGATAAGGTGTCGGGACATCATGAGCTTCACCTTCGACACGACTGGAACCTCTCAGCCTCAGATGATCAACAAGTCTCGCGCCGCCATCTCAGGCAACTCCAACCATGGCGCCCAATCCTCGACGCCTCGCCACGTCCACGCATGCCCATCGCCCGAAGTACACAGCACAACAAGCTGGCCCCGCTCTCCCTTCTTCACGTCCGGGTCCGTCGAGATGAGAAACGCCGCGTGTCTGTCCTCCTGTGCAGGCAGTAGCAGAGCGACATGCTCGTGCGTCTTGCGCAGCTCGACGGCCCGCCGCCAGCAAGAGTTGACGACGCGCGTGTCCTCGAAAACGGCCGTCTGCAGCACCCCGCCGCCATCGTATTTCGTGGTACCGAAAGCCACATCGCGGTAGGCGTCGTCGTCCTGCGCCCTGTAGTCGTACGCGAGCCACGTGCCGCGCAGCCCGGCGGCCGAGATGACGGCGCGCTGGCTGCCGAGGCCGTCGTAGGCGGAGGTGCGGGCCACAGCGTGGCGCCGGACTTGGTCGTCGGCCCGCGGACGTACGGCGTGGCCGGGGCCCAGGAGAAGCCCCGGCGCGTGCGGCAGCCGCGCCGCGTCGGACACGAGGAACGCCGTCGGGAGGCTCGTCCCCACGAGGCCCGCCCAGAAGTCCTGCGGCGTGAAGCACACGGGGCGGTTGCTCAGGAGACTCCAGATGACCACGTCGTCGCCTTCTCTCGTCGCGTGGCGCAGGCCGAGGATGCTGCCCGCCTTCTCGACGGTGCGCCCCGGCACCTGACCCGCGGGCGACGGCGGCGCCGGGAGGAGGTGCTGCACAGCGAGGCCCAGGACGGCCAGGTCGACGCGACCCTCGTGCCGCACGGCCTCGAGAC